CCAGCTCTGGACCTACCAGTGCCCGTTCCCCAGGCCTGCAGGCAGCTCTGTGAGCACGGGGCAGGCTGGTCCACACCAGCCCCCCAGCACTGGGCCGAAGCTTCGGGGGCCATCCCAGGTCCGTCCTTTCTTTCCTAAGACCACCCTGTCAAAACACATCCAAAAGGAGGCCCCTTCCTCCGTCTGCCACCTCCACCTTAGTCCTCCTAAGGGGACTCCCTCCTCCCGTCTTGCCACCCTCCCCATGGTGGGCCACTGGGCATTGGAAAATATAAATCAGGTCCCTTTACTCAACCCTGGAAAAATCACTAATATAAAATCCAGACTCTCCATGGCCCAGAAACCCACACTGGACCTCACCTCCCTTCACTCTCCCCGGCTCCACCCTTGAGCCCCCAGTGCTTGCCCCCAGAGTTGCCATAAGTTCATTTTCTTCTCACCTGCTCTTTCTCCTCCTTCACATGGTCCTCCTGAGGAGCCTGCAAGGCTACTTCCTCAGTGTTTTGCTCCCAACTCAAATGTCACCTTCTTCAGGAAAAAGCATCTACCCCTGTCACATTACCTGGCTTTATTGGTTTAATACACTTAACCAGTGTTTGAAGTTATTTTCTTTGTGCTCTTGTTTATCATCTTCTCCCCTGACCAGAATATAAGCTCCATGAGTATAAGAACCAAAAAAAAAAAAAAAAAAAAAGAACCATGTCTGTCTTGCTCAAGGTTCTGTCCCCGCAGCCTAGACCAGTGCTGGGCACACAGGAGAAAACCAGTCCACGTTTGTTATCTGAGGGAACTGACCCCTGGGCTAAATAGGTGTGCTGCCAGCTCTAAGGTGGCAGGTTGTGACGGGTGACCCAGGACTGAGCAGTTTGGGAGAAAGGATTTGAACTGTGACAAGAACAGGTAGCACTTCTGGAGGAAATTGAGTGCTGCTGCAGGCACAGGGAGGTGGATGCACAAAGACTTGGAGGAGGGAATGGCTAGGGTTCAGGATGGCTGGGGTATACGATCCCTTAGCTGGGAAGTGCTGGGGACATGGGAGGTTAACTTGAAAAAATAGATTGTGGCCATGCTATGAGGGGTCTTATTATAGACTGAATTGAGCCCCTGCCCCCCAAGATTCATATGTTGAAGTCCTAACCTCTTCTATAACCTCCAGATGTGACTATTTGGAGATAGGGCCTTTAGAGAGGGAATCAAGGTTAAAGAGAGGTCTTATGGGTGGGCTCTAATCCAATATGACTGGTGTCATTATAGAAAGAGGGAAAGACACCAGGGATGCATGCACAATGAGAAAAGAGCCAGCAAGGGAACGGCCATCCGCAGGTCAAGGAGAGAGACCTCGGAAGAACCCAACCCTGCCCCCACCTTGATCTGGGACTTCCAGCCCCCAGGACGGTGAGAAAATAAATTTCTGTTGTTTAAGCCCCCCATTCTGTGATCTTTTGTTTTCGCAGCCCTAGCAAACTAATGCAGGTCTTAAGGTTTTTATATTTTAATTTTAAATAGTGATATATTAATCTGGTTCAAGAATCCAACATAAAAAGTAATAACGACCAGATGATCAAGGTCATGAACAGCGATACGTCATGTTGATAGCGTGTGCCCTTGGTAGGATGTGGATGAAAATGGCTCTTTACCTGTGTGGCCTTCCTCCAAAAATCCCCTAAGCTCAGTCTAATGATAAGAAGAACATTAGATAAATCTCAAATGAGGAACATTCTACAAAACACCTAACTTGTACTCCTCAAAACTCTCAAGGTCATAAAAACAAAACAACAACAAAACCAAGGAAACTCTGGGAAACTGTCACAGCCCAGAGGAGCCTAGGGAGACAATACAACTAAGTTTAATGTGGTGTCTTGGATGCGGTCCTGGAACAAAGGACATTGGGTAAGACTAAGGAAATCTGAATAAAGTATGGACTTCAGTTATCCTAGCGTATTGACATAGGTTCGCTGGTTGTAACCAATGCACCATCCTCACGCAAGATGTTAAGAGAGAAAACAGGGAGGCGAGGGAGGCTATGAGAACTCTTTATATTATCTTTGAAATTTTTCTGTAAATCTAAAACAGCTCTAAAAATAAAGTTTATTTTTTAAAAATAGTGAAAATCTCGCTCAGACTCCTGTCCCTTGTCTGTGCATCGCCCGTTCCCACCTACAGCCGCTACTTTATTAGTGTCCAGTGCACCTTTCAAGAATCCTTTATGCAAATACGAATCTGTACTGCTTTTCTCCCTGAATGGCCTTTGTGTGTGCTTGAAAGATCATTGAATCATTTTTACTATAAAGTATCTCAAACACGCCAAGCAGACGAATACAATGCAGCCCATACACCCACCGCCCATATTCAGCACTTACCAAGAATTTGCACGTATGCTTCAGCTGTCCCTCCCCGCCTTGCTCTCCCCCTTTTGCTCAATTGTTTTCAAGCAAATTCCAGCCCTCATACATATGCCAGTGTGTACCTCTGAACAATGTGCACATCTTCTCACGTTACACTAAAGCCTATACCCCACCATCAAGAGTGGCTCCTGAAGGGCCTCTTGTGAACTTCAGTCCGGGGGACAAGAACTTTGCAGGGCAGGCGTGTGTACACGTGACCCAATTATGTCTCTGTGTGGGATGATTTGGGCGTGGAGGAGGTCAGAGCAGGGAGGCCAATTATCAACAGCCTCGGTCTGGATGCCGAGTGATGGGGCCTGATGCATGGCAGGTGCAGCAGGGTGGAGAGGAGGACCAGCTGGAGAGCCTCTGGGGGTGGGGGGACGCTAACCAGCCTGGCCTCAGATGCTTGCCTGCCTAGAGGATAGACAGGACCTTGGTGTGCGGACACAGGGGCTGCCACTATCTGTACCTAAGGTCCTACGGGCAAGAGTGGGACCCCAGTGGCTAGGCTCTCTTTCTCAGAAGAGTGGGCTCATTTTGACTACCTCAAGGTGGGGCACATCTCTGCACTGCTCTGGCAAAGCCTGTCCCTTGCCTGGCTTAGTGGGTTGGCACCCACCCCCACGATTCATGAACATTAGCATGGCAGAGCTGGAAGGCCATCGGATATCACAGAGTCTAACCCCTCTCTGGTTACACAGAGAGAAACGGAGACCCAGAGAATGGGCTGCCAGTTGCCTAAGACCACACAGGGAGTGAGAAGCAGAGCTGGAATTAGAATCCAGGTCTCTGACTTCCTCCCATTACCCAGAGATTTCTCTTCTCTTTCCAAACCCTGCTCCCAGAAGAGATGTGTCACTAGCCATTACTGCCCATGTGTGTGAGTTTAAAACTTCCTGAGTGATCCCTCTCCCAGGGACATAGGTACGCTAAGCCAGCTTGCTAATGATAGCATCACTGCAGGAAACCATTTATGGAGCACTTACCATGTACCACAAACTGTGCTAGGAGCTTTTCATACATCATGTCTGAACCTCCCCAAATTCCATGAGGCAGCCACTATTCTGTAATCCCCCACAATAGGGATGGGTAAATTAAGATACAGAGATGTAGCTTGTCCAGGACCATGCAGTGAGGGCGTGGCAGAAGATGTGTTTGTCTAACTGGAAAGTCTACACTCTTAAACACCAACCCCTGTGGCCTCTGAAGACCAGGGGTGGCTTTCCATGAAGAGAACAGTGCTTACTCCCTGGCCTCCCTCCTGCCCCCCAGCCCCACCCACAGGCCTTGAGCCTCTCAGAGGACAGGACAGGCAAAGAGAGATGGACCCTGACCACCTGCTGCCGTCTCCAAGAAGCTGGGCCCTTCCCAGGGTGGTTTATGGCCTTTGGTGTTTGGGGCCATAAACAGACCTCCGTGTTCAGGGTGCTCGTGGAAGTTTCAGCGCTGCGTGCGGAGGACATCAGACACAATCTCTCCCAGTCAGGGTTCTGATGAATGGCACAGTGTGGCGAGCACAGGAAGGGTGACTGCCCTTTCTGCGGCCTTTACTACACTCTGTGCCATGCCCTGTGATGGGCTCTGGACACGTGGCCCGGGTCTCCGTCACTCAGGCGCTCAGGCCAGAGCGGGAGGTGTCACGGGACACAAGGCTGTAGGAAGAGATCTGGTCCCCACAGATGGGGCCTGGGCTCTAACCCGGGTCGTTCGAGCACCAAGGACGCTGGCACAGGTGGGCACAGGCGTTCGAAGCCGGGGGTATCGCCGGTGTGAAGGGCCGCGGCTGGAGAGCGGACACGAGACCAGGAAGGCCGGCTGGAGCAGGGTGCCGCGGGCCGCGTAAGACGCACTGGCGGACGGCGGATCAGGTGCCCCGGGGCCGGGGCGCAGGGCGGGTTCCGGGGTCTATCCCGAGCGCCGCGGAGCCGGGTCACGTGGATGGTTTGGGGCGCACCACGCCCCTCCGACCCGGTCCCTCGCTGCAGCCCCACCCGGCGCCGGGAGCCCGGGATCAGGCCGCTGTCAGACGCGGGCGCGCGCCGTCGCCGCGGGATGCGCCCCGCCCCCCCGGCGGCCTCCCGGAGCCCAAGGTTCGAGTCCCGGCCTTGGCGTGACTCGCTGCGGAGCCGCGCCCGGGCCCTGCCCTCTTCCGGCCTCCGTTTTCCCATTCCCGAGGTCTCGGAGAACCCGTGCTCTCGGTCGCGCGCGGGGCGGGGCAGCGACGAGGCGTCCGCAGCGCGCCCGGCCGCGGGAGCGCGGACGCGCACGGGCGCGCTCGCACCTGGCTGCCGCGAGAGCGGCTAGGGGGCGGGGCCGGGAAGCTCCGGCCCTCCGGCCCCGCCCCCGGCTCCGCCGAGCCAATCGGAGGAGGCGGCTGGCCCCGTGTGGGGCGACGCGCTGGGGGCGGGGCCTGCGGGGGCTGAGGAGAGAGCCCGAGGGCTGTCTGCGCGAGGCGGTCGGGCGGAGGCGGCGGCGGCGGCGGCCGGTGCCGGGACAGCGACGCAGCGCGGCGGCGGCCGCGACAGGGCCGGTCAGGCTCCGCAGCCCGCCGCAGCCGCCGCCTCGCCGCTGAGGGCCCGAGAGCGCGGCGGCGGGTGCGCGGCCTGCGAGGACGGCCGGAGCGGCGGGCGCGGCGCGGCGCCGAGCGTCCTGTCAGGCGGCCGAGGGCGCCGCGGACCCGCGCCGAGATGATGCCGGTGGGTGCGGGCGGCGGCGGCTTCCTCCGTGGGCGGCCGGCCAAGCCTCCTTCCTCCCGCGGCTCCCCGCCCCCGGGCCCCGCGCGAGGCCGGGCGGGCGGGGAAGGAAGTGGCCTGGCGGGCGCGCCCGGCCCCGGCGCCCCCCGGGCGGGCAGGTGGGGGCGGCGCCGGGGCTGTCAGCGCGGGCCGGACCGGGGGCTGGGGACCGGGGGCCAGGGCCAGGGGGTCGGGGGCCGGGGCGAGGGTCGCGCCGGTCGCCCACCTCCGCCCGCACCCCCCCTCCCCCGGGGCCGGCGCCCCCTCAGCCGCGGCTCGGCCCTTCCTGCCGATCCTCCCTAGTTGGGGGCTGCCCGGGAGGGGAAGCCGGAGATGAAATTGGAGCCAGTCATTTTTCCATCCGTCCTGGCGGGTGTTCAGACTGGGGGTGTCGTTTGGCGCCCGCTCGGTGTCGGGGTCTCGCGGCGCCCCCGTAACCCCCCGCCTGCAATTTGCTGGGCTTGCGTTGGGAGCCGGCGGTGTGTACACCCCGGTGTGGGCTTCCCACGCTGGGAACCCCACGTATTTCCTTAGCCCTTCCCTGACTCTGAAATTCTGTTGTATTTCGGAATTTACATAGGGAATGGGTTGAGAGAGCCATCTTAGGAATTCCTTTTTACCGTGTCTGGGAGATTTGTACGTTTTGCTTTAACCGGCCTGTTGTCACTGCGATCTGGAGGTGGAAGGAGGTTCATTTGTGGTAGTGCCGCCTTTGTCCTGTCCTCAAGGATGCGTTCTACTAGAGAGATTTGCCATTTCCTTTACCTACACAGTCTAAATCGCAGTGCGTGCTGAATTACAGTTTTTCTAATCTGGATTTTTGTGAGGTGGTTCCTGACTTACGAAGAAATGTAGGACTGGTGGTACCCAGTTGGATGTCCTGGTTTTCTGAGTGCCTTTATTTTAAGTAAAATTCTCAAACACGTTTATAGTAAAGTAACAACAAAAGCATTGCTTTAACCTACAAATTCTACACTGGAAATCACGTTTCTGAAGGAAAGCGCCGTTTCTCTGCGTTTTCTGCTCGAGTACTGCTCTTCTGCGATGCTGCACTCAAGGACATTTAGATTAGAATCCCCCCCCCCCCCCCCGATCTTTCAAGTCATTTCCTGCCTCTTGATAATCTCTTCTCCCCTTTTTGAACTCATTCCAGCACATCATGTTTACAGATTCTTAAGCTTTGACCTCATTGATCCTTAGATCCTTCTTTGACATCAGGGCTTGTTGGGTTTCTAAACATTTGGTTTTAAATGAATGTCTTGTAATGGAAAGAGAATTGGATGAGTATCAGAAGATCCAGAGTGGAGTACTGGTTCTGCTACTTTTTAGCTCTGTGACCTTGAACAAGTCAAGGTCTCAAGCCTGGAATTACCTCTGAAGTAGGAATAAAAACATACCAGTGTCTGAGGGCTGCCCTGAGGATCAAAAAGGATTGTGTCCAAAAGTGCTTGTCAAACAGAATGCCATGCAAATACTTATTATTGTTAATACGGCTCTGAATGGTCAATTTCTAATTTTAACCTCTGCAAGATAAGGCATTTGGAAGCTGTTCCCTCCCTAATTCTCACTGGCTAGATTTGGAAAAGGCATTATAGTGTCTTGGAATTTTGAAAGCAGTGTTAGTTAAATAATGTTATAGTTGATTTCGCTATATACTACAGTAATATTGAAGGATATGTATAAAATTTTGATTGGTTTGATCATTGTATAATGTTTAATTATAAATGCCCGGTTAAGGAACCTGGCTTACATTTTCCATATGGTACACTCATATGTTTTACCTCTATTCCACGTGGGTAGAGTTTCTAGTCTCCTCCTTATCAGGTTTCTTTTTTAAGAAGTTTGCTTACCTGGCAGTTGGGAAATTTCTTCATGATACTCAAAATAATCAAATACTACTTTTAACAAAACAGGTAAGTTTATTAACTATTTAAAACACACTGCTTTTGTTTTGAAATGCCTTCTAGAAACAGATGGTATTTCTCTTAGTCTCTCTTTTGTGGTCTTTAGGTCTGTACTTCCTTTTTGATCCTAAAAAATACTACTTGTAGGATTGAGTCCTTCCTCTATTAACACAGGGCTGGTTGTAGATTTAATCAAGTTCTAAGGTACATGCCATTCTTTCTTGGTCCTATCTTAAACCATGTATCCAAGATATAAATTTTTCTTTATTGTATAGTTGGTGTTCATCATCATCATGAATCATCAAAGAAAGATTGGATCATATTTTGCATACTTCGTATAGAGCAGTACTTTCTAATAGGAATGTAATGTGAGCCACACAAATGTGATTTTAAATTTTCTAGGAACTACATGAAAAGGTGATATTTTAGTAATGTCTTTTATTAACTCAGTATATCAGGAGTATTTTAACATGTGATCAACAGGAAAAGTTGACTAATGTGATATTTTACCTTTTTTTTTCCTTTTTTACACTAAGTCATTGAAATCCAGTGTGAATCTGGTGAAGTTTACGTTTATAGTACACCTCAGTTTAGAGTAGCACATTTCAAGTGCTCAATAACCACACGTGGTTAGTGGCTACCATATTGGGCAACACAGGTTTAGAATATATTTTAGTTATTTGAGAATTGGCAATTAGTGTGTAGTGTCTGTGGTAACTTAATTGATCAGATGGTTTACCGTAGCACCCAGGCTCTCAGCTGTTGGGTATAAATGGGAGTATCCTGCCACGTTTTCATCTGACACAGTAAAGTCTTTGTAGAAGTCTTCAATTTTCCTGTTATGGGAAGTTCCGTTGACTATTTACTTTTTTTTTTTCTTTTAAGTGGGCTCCACGCGGGGCTTGAACTCACAACCCTGAGATCAAGAGTCGGTCACTTAACTGACTGAGCCACCCAGGTGCCCTGTGACTATCTACTTTTAAACAAAGTTATATTTTGGGGGGCGCCTGGGTGGCTCAGTTGTTAAGCGTCTGCCTTCAGCTCAGGTCATGATCTCAGGGTCCTGGGATTGAGCCCCGCATCAGGCTCCCTGCTCTGCGGGAAGCCTGCTTCTCCCTCTCCCACTCCCCCTGCTTGTGTTCCCTCTCTTGCTGTGTCTCTCTCTCTGTCGGGTAAACAAATAAAATCTTTAAAAAAATAAATAAAGTTACATTTTGGAATTTTCCCTTATAAAATAGTATTGCATTCTAGTGTCTGTAGTCATTCACCTTTTTGTCAGTGGATAACATTTTAACAATGTTTTCCCAAGAAGAAAATGGGCTATGCTTTAAAGATTACTCGTTTGCTCCTCCCTAAGATCTGGACCTGAAGGCATTTAGGCCACACCTAAATAACTTTGATAGAAATAAGAATATTAGTAAAAATAGCTTGATTCAGAACATTAAAAGTATGAAAACTGCCTTGCTCATTGGTCAGCATCTTTCTTTTCAAAAGAGAATGAGCATTTTGCAGCTGGTAAAACTTCTTGTGCAAAGGTGAAATATATATCTGGGGAATGGTGTTAAGGATACTTTTTTCTCTTCCAAAGGAATGTTGATGTGAGTAGAGGAAGTTCGGTGGTTCTAAAGTGTGTTTCATTCACAAGAAAGGCATTCTAGTGGTAGTGTTTTGGTCTTGTTAGTAGTGACTCCTTACCTGACATGGATACCACCCAGTATGACTAGTTGATTCCATTCCTTTCTGTCCTAGGAGCCCTTTCAACATATTCATGATAGGCTAGGGGTTAAATTAATTTGTGCTTAACATTTAGCTCTCATTAAACATTGACTTATTTTGGATATTCACTTTCTTCCCAACTATGTACAAAAAAATTTGAGGTACTAGAATAGGTCTTTCTTTTTTTAAACCATCAACTGTCCAGTAATGATACAATAAAGTAGAAGTAGGGAGATTTAGTTTCTAGTCCCTTCTTGTTAGTAACCTTGTGACCTTTGGACTTAATTTCTTTGGGCTTCAATTTCTCACCTGTGAAATGAGTTGGTCTTGGTGATTTCCAACTGTTTATGGTTGGTCCAGCAGTTGATACATAGATACTTTCATGAAGGGCAGTAATCAGGCTACATCAGAGGTTGAGGCAACCTGACACTTGTTTTGACAGCCTGATAGTAAACTTGTTCACTGCCCAAGTATCTTTGTATCATAGAGGAGATAAGAGTTCAGTAGGTGTTCACTATTATTGTGAATTAATAATTTAGTCACTTGATAGGCTTGAATTGTAGCCTAATTCAGTAAACAAAACCCTGAAGACTGGAGAAGATTGTTTTTTTAACTCTAGTTTCTTTATTTTTTTTTAAAAGATTTTATTTTTGCAAGAGAGAAAACCAGCCAGGGTAGGGTGGGGGAAGGCAGAGGGAGAAGCAGACTCCTGGTTGAGCAGGGAGCCCGATGCAGGGCTTGATCCCAGGACCCTGGGATCATGACCTCAGCCGTAGGCAGACGCTTAACCAACTGAGCCACCCAGGTTCCCCCCCGCCCCGCTTTTTAAAGATTTTATTTATTTATATTTGTGAGAACTCTAGTTTCTTTAAAACAAAAATTACAGGCATAATATTGTCATTAAAATAATTCTAGCCTTTAGATTGCCCAGAAATTCATAAAAGGAAAAGCAAAGCCTTGGTCCTACAAAGATGTGTATATAAAAACTTGTATTATTACAGCTTTATTGAACTTAAAAATTGTCTTTGTGGACAGCTCTTCTAAAGGCTACAGTATTAAGTGCAGCCATAAAGTGGCAGCTATTTAACTTCTTCCTATAGCTTAGTTGGTAATAGTATTTATGGCATTTGTCATCTGCTGAGGCACTGTGTCATAGGTTTTGTGGCGGTGTCTTTGTTTTTATGGAGAACTGAGGCTCAAGAGGTAAAGAAACTTGGCTGAGGTCCTCCAGCTAGTAAGTGGTAAAACAAGGTTTGAAAACAAACAAGCTGACTCAAAGCCTTTGCTCTTATCCTTTGTGCCAGTCACTTAGGGAAGTTTGTTGTAGTCAAAGCATTTTGTTTG